AATTTGTAAAAGCCAGAGATCAGAATGAGATCAAGGTTGAAGATAACAGATAATGATTGGTTCACTGAAAAAGATCCCTAAAAAGAGTAAATGGGACAAATACTTATGAGTTCTATATATGTCTTTCATTCGCTGATACCTTTCTAGTCAGTGAATAAGCTTTCAGTATTTAGTTATTAATATTGTGCAAGTTTATTCTTTCCTTGTAATCCTTTACAATTAAAATAAATTTCCATAGTAAACTGTATCACTAAAAAAAGATCCCAAAACAGTTAAAAGGGACATGTATTTTATTAGTACCTTTTTCCTTACTGTTATACCTTAAGCAATTTTTTATGTTGTTTTGTCATCATCATATAGGGGGAGATTGTTGATCTTCTCTCTCAGTGATTTGATGATGATCTCTTTTAATCTATCGAAGTGTACTATCTTTGTATTCAGCTTCAGCAATCATCACTGAGTTTGTTCAGTGATCGCTAAACATGTATTGTAATTCTTTTAGAGACTAGTATCCTTCATGAAGACAAAACTCACAGCAAAGATCCTTCAACAATATCGAAGATACAAGTTGAAGACAGAGAATAGTAAGTTCGTGATCTGAAATGGTTTTCAGTGATAATAAGTTTGTCTACGTAAGTGTGAAATCTACATAAGATTCAGCGAACACTGAAGAAACCTCAGCGKTATTCCAGTGTCAGCGATCAAATGAATCTTGTCGAACAAGATTAGTTTTTGTCTTGTCCTTCTGCACACAAAGAACAAACCCATACTTTTCAAAGTAAAATGTTGTACGGAGTCACTCTATTTTCACCAAGTATGCTTACCTACTTTATGAAAGAAGATTATATATCTGCAACAAAGGACGGGCTCACCTCCTAAAGTTTGCCACGTACTTTTGTACCTTCTGAATTGAATTTAATTCAATGGGTATAAATAGCTGAGTAATTCTTTCTTCTCATCACTCTGAATCTCAGTCCAAGCTTCCTTGCTTTGAAGATCTTTTTACCCAAGAAGATACTCATCCCTCTAACTTTCTATCTAAGAGAAAGACAACCACTTTAACGAGTGAAGAGCACAATACTTATTAACCTATTTCTTGTAGCAACTCTTTTCTTTATTGCTCTCTGTAACTTGTGTGTATCTTTGATTGTTTGGATAAATTATGTATATTATCTCTTCCTCAAACAATCTATAAAAATCTGTATTGATCTTCTTTATCAATGTAAGTTTTTTAAAAGTGAAGGTTGATGTGTTTATATTCATCCCCCTCTTCTACAAATGGTTATCTATAAACTCTTGTAGATACAACTGGGACCAACAACATGTTATAAAATTATATTTGTAATAATAACAAATATATATATATATATATCATTTTGATATAACAAATCTCAAATATCGCATTTAAATACCCAACATCATGAAAAATATCCCATTGTAAAACTTCTCGCATCATATAGGAATTTATTAAATTTCCTCGCATCATAATGATGAGACCAACCCAATTTCTTGCATCACACTAGTACGAGAATCTCAACTTCTCACATCACACAGAGTGAGACCACCCATTGCCCCCCTTTGGTCCACCAACCAGAGCAAGGCCACCCACTAAGTCTGGAAGAGTAACTAGAGCCTCTGGTTCTAAAAACGAGAGCATCTGCTCCACAAAGGATCATGGCCAGAGCCCCTCTAGTTGAACTATGCTCTTGACAGCAAGTATCAAATATAAAGACAAAGTCTGAAAATGATTTAGTCCAAGAGGACTTGGTCAAAAAGTTGCATGGAACCAAGAGCTCGGATATAGAGCTTCGGACACAGAGCTCGGAGCCTCTACATAGCACATGTAGAGCCTCTGTGTCTAGAATGTTGCTCTGTATCAAGTACTTAAGCTTTTTGACGCTTAAGTCTTGATCTTCCTCTGGGTTGAGCACAAGCTCTGTATATGAGGCACTTAGCTCTTTGAGTAAGAGCTCTGTCTCTTGGTATCTTCTGCAGAAGAGCTTTTGGTCCAGACTGCTTCAACAGACTAAATCCTAAACGACTAGAGTAAGAGGCTTCTTACTTACACTTTTACAAGTTGGGATCAACAATACTTTATACTCTTGTAGTTAGTTATGTAATTTATGGTATGTCCATTTGTTTTTCATTTTTCGTTTTACACCCTTATCATATTAACATACATAATTGTATATTACTTTAAAAATATGTTTTAGCCGTTCTCATTTACTAAAGTGTAAATAAGTGGAAATACCCGCGGTCGCGGGCTCCAGGTTACTTAGTGGATTCTGAGTGGGAGTAGACACTCTTGTAAAAAGCTTTAAGGTCGGTTCCCTACCTTATCAAAGGAAGCAGATACTCTTTTTGCGCACTCAATTTTGGCAAACTTTTCCGTAATATTCGGCAATTTTTGAACTATTGAGAGGTAGCTCGGTAAAAGGCCTTACTCTATTCCTTGCCAGGAATAGCGGCCTTTGTAACTCACAGCTTTTAGCTTCGAAATTGTCTCCTCAATACCTTCGAAATTATTAATATTGAATATTTTTTGATTTAGAATATATTATTATATGAAATATATTACAAAAGAATATTTTTATCACTTACACTTTATACCATTATATTTATTTATTTTTGAGTACATCTCTTACTTTTTTCATTTTTCGTTTTACACTTTTATCACATTAACATACATAATCGTATATTAAACTAAAWTACGTTAAAAAAATATATTTTTATTTTAATAAGTTACATTATTATATTGTCTCGTCAATACCTTCAACATAGTCTAATATTAAAAAAAATTATAATTAATTACATGACCATAATAATATAAAGGGAAAAGCATAAAAAAACCCAATGGATTTTATTGTTTGGAATGATTAAGTCATTGGACAATTTTTTAAAACAAATAAGTCATTGGACAATTTTTTGGAACATAAGTCCTTAGACATTTCAAAACATGTTAAATAACTCATTGGACTTTCTAAAACCTGTTAGATACATTCTTATGACCTATACAACTGGTTAATGTGGTAAAATAATGAAAAAAGTCCAAAAAAAAGCCAATGGACTTTCATATTTTGAACGATTAAGTCCCTAAACATTTTTTGAACCAAAGAAGTACTAAGATCTATAAAAATAAACAAATATAC